CTTCCTGTTACTTTGTAAACGTACTTGTTTGTCAAATATGTGTATGTAAAGCTGGAGAAGACAGGACTGTGGTTTCTAAAATGTTGCTATGGTCTTTTTTTTTCTTTTTTTGTCTTTTGCAGGTGAACAATCAAACTTAAGAATATGATTTCATAGAAGAAATAGAGCTTTAAACAGAATCACCTTTTCATATTCAAAATTATCAAAGCTTTAAGGTGCATGTTTTCTTAGTGTACTTTGAGGTACCTCAAACATATTTATCCAGTGACCAAAAATGACCTTATCAGCATTTGCACTAAGTTTGTGTTACTGTTACTTTTTGAGCTTGAGGTTTGCAGTGTTGTAGACTTTGATTGGTTTGTATTATATAATGTGTTTATATAAAGATATTAATAAAACAAAATATTAGAATATTTTAATATGGCAGCCAGACTTTGTTCAACCCCAGTGTATAACACACAAATCAGTTAGTGTCAACAGAACTAAGGGTTTTTAGTAATATAGTCTTAATTCCAGTGCTTTTATTGCATCATAGTGATGCACCTCACAGTGTATGTATTTTTCTGATGTCACTGTGCATGATAGTCAAGTCTTTATTCATAAAACACATTTAAATGTAACAGACGGTGACCAAAGTGTTGCACATATTTAATGTTCCATGTTAGACCCTCTATTAAAAGGGAGTCATATTATAGTAAGATGAGCTTTTTTCCAGCTCCAGGGATTTACTGAAACAAGTGCAAACGTCTATGTAAATACAGACAGTACAAAAGATGGACATAGCTACCATGATGCCGTCCACTGATTTCTGAATTCGGTGAAACCTCTGCATGAGTGTTTCCATCTACGCTGTCCTGGTTGCATAAAAATGATTTTTTATTTAATATGACCCAAGTTTCTTTGGATCTTGGCTGCCTTTTGTTCTTTTCTCTGGCAAAAGGATCTAACACAGCTCTGAGGAAGCCAATCCATGATTGATAGAGTTTCATTTTGTGTGTGTGTGTGTGTGTTTTGTTTATTTTTTATTTTTTGTATCCACGTGTGCTTTTACTGCATTGACAGTGAGTTTGGGATCATTGTCTTGCTGCAAAATTGAGGCTTTACCAATAGAGGCTATTGCATGATTGAGAATGTGCCTTTCAAGTTTCATGTTAAAACACCATTCAGATTGCTCATTCTACCGTGCCTGTATACCTGCGGTTTCAGTCAATTTCAGAGTCTGTAGCAAATGAGCTGTTGCTACCCCACCTACCACACTGTGGTGAGAAACACGGCAGGAAAGGAGAACTGAGAACACACCCTCATCAGAAGCTTCTGAATAGCGCTGCCTTCTAGCAACAAATATTGCATCTATCTAGACAGACTTTAGCTGTTTTGCATAGCAAAGCTAGTTAAATACATAGTTAGCCCTGCTGTCATCATGGAGAGAACTAAAAAAAACTATGGTCTTCAGTGGAATAACAGATTGGATACTAAAGGTGGACAAAGCTCTCCAGAACAGCTGTGGTTTTATGGTTGTGACAGCTAATATTTTATTGTGAAGCACTTATATGTAGTTACACAAAGTTCTTTTTTCATCAACGTTTATGGGAAAGTGAACCAAGTAGCTCAATCACAGATCTCTTATCTTAATCAGTGACTTATTTAAATCTGAATTTAATCTTAGTTAGTTTTAAACTCTGTTTCTGTTTTCACTGAAAATACAAACAGTCTCAGACATTTAGAAGACAGCAGATTATCACAACTAGATAACAGAGGAATGTCTGCTTTACTCTGATCAGTTTCTCTGTTTGTGGGTTTTGTTGTGTTTGTGTCTGCAGGCAAGATTTAACTGTTAGGAGTAGGAAGGTTTTATTTATGTCAGGTCCACAGAGGAACAAAATCCATTTTTTTAGAAGCTTTCTAGCCATTAACACACATTTTAACTTCATTATAAAAGAGTAATCATATAAAACATAGACATAAAATATAGACTTCACCTGTATATAGTCTTTGAGCTCTGGGCCAAAGTACAGGTGGAATTACACATTATTACTCTGCTGTTTACAAAAGAACTTACATTTTGAGATATCTTTGGTATTTATTTATTTATTTTAATACGTCTCCCTGGTCATAAATATAAACATCCACCAGGAGGTGCTGCAGCACCCTCAGCGTACCTGCTTCCCACAGTCTTGAGCTAAAATGTGTCACTATTTTATTTCCACAGACTGAATAAAAAGAAATGACCCAAAATAATTTACTGACAAGAGGAAGACCATAAAATGTTTCCCATCTAATCTTCACTCTCTGTCAGCACAGAGAAAGCAAGTTAATATTTAATCATTTCTCTTTGAAATGTTTAGATCTGTTGGGCAGGCAGAAATAACCACAGGTGTGTCAGCTTTGACCTCTAAAATGATTTTACATCCAGACGAGTACAAAACAACAGAAGAAAAATAATGGAGCTCCAAGTTCAAATAGAGCTGATGAATGTGCTGAACACCAAAGAGGATATCTGATATGATTCACACACAGACACACGATTCTACTGCTGAACCAGTCTGACCAGGATACTGACACACAGCTATTTACCATCAACACAGTGGTGCTGAGGATCTGATCAATAATTTAATCACCTTGATTTATTGGTTTTACATATGTTGCATTTAAAAAGAATATTTAAGGTTTGTAAAATCTGTTTTTTAAACAGGTTGTATCATGAGTTTCACTTTAGTAAATGTATTTAGTTACTGCAACAATCAGTTTCAATTTTTGTTTTAAGTGAACAGTTTATGCTGGATCTCAGTGTTATATTAAAACAATTATAATAATAATACATAGACTTTGCTAGTTTGAACTAATGATCCTAATATTCAATAACAAGATGTTTTTATTGTATTTGATTCTATTATATTCTAACAGATGGGCAGGTGGAGCTAACCACAGCTATGTTCGCTCTAACAGGAGCTTTAGCTGCACTGAAGTGAAATCATTTCACAGTCAGACAGAGCATGAGCACAAAACAAGAACAGGACAGGAAATAAAAGGTGGGCTTAGAATAAAAGCAGACAGAAACAGTAACAGATGCATCTGTTGTTTGTCGTGAGCGACACTCTGACAGGCTGTAACTTGTGCTGGACAGTCTCCTGTCCCACATGGTGATACGCTGAATTATCAGAGCACAGATCAAACATCCAGAGCTTGTTCCTGTTTCTACATCACAGACATGAACCTGCTGAAGTTTACTCACATTATTATACATCATACTGATCCTCACACACTGACAGAAATCACGTTCTGTCTTCAGACTGTGACAGGTGGAGTGGGTTTCCAGCCCCCACCCGTGTGTACTTCAAGGACCTGAAAATGTTTATTGTATTTCAGGGTTTCATTAAGTTATTTGACAGAAGGATCAGCTGACTGTGAGGGCTCAGAGTCAGCTGTGACTTTGTTTTTGTTTGTCAAATATGTGAACTCACAGCTGATAGGTGGAGGAATGTGGTTGCTATGGTGACGCTGTGGGCGCTGATGTCACAGATCTGAGGTGTGTCTGTTTAAAAACAGCTGATAAGGAAATACAGCTCAGTTTGTTCTCTGGATGTTTAGTACAGAGGTCCATTTATTTTTATTTTATTTTATTGTACTTTTTCTTTTTGCTCTTTACATTTTTTAAATATTTTATTTATTTATTTATTATTTATTTTATTCCATCATGATGATCAGAAAAGACTTTGAGGATTACAGATTTCATCCAGAAAAAAAGTAAGTGTTTGACTATTTTGTACAAAGGTGGAGAAAGTTCTCTGTGGTTTGATGGAGGCTCCAGCTAAATGCTGCCTCCTCCATAGTACAATTTACATTTTTATACAGTGACGTCATTTTGAAGTCCTTTGGCTGATGGTCTTTAGTATGCAGCTGATGATTGATAATGAGAGAGGTTATGTTTGTGTTGTTCTGTGGAGATCATTCTAGAACTGAACCTGTTAAACACTCAGACCTGTTTCAGATTTCACCACTTTAGTTATGACGCACTTACTTATGGTCATCCTACAAAATGATGCAAGTGTTGAGTATGAATATGAGTATGAGTGAAAATTAAATGTTTCAGCTCTATTAAAACTCAAATTTAACCTCATGTAGTCATTTTTAAACTTTTTTTTAAAACTGAGGTTCTTTTATTCACTGAAAAAATCAACAGACTCACATAGTTAGAACAATCTAAGCGTCAGATCAGCAGAAACAAAAACAAGGACATGTTTCCTGTAACTGCGTCGCTCTGCTCGACTTTGCTGTTTGTCGGCGTCTTCGTGTTTGTCTCTGCAGGCGAGGTTTATAAACATGCCACTCCATGCCACCTCTGTAGATCTGTCCCTGAGTTTTAAATGGTTGTGCAAAAAAGTCAGAAACACTGTTTACATTTTACAGCATATTACACAATGCAACAGCTGCATATATGTAAAGAAATACCTTTGATTTTGCCAGCCTAAGAACATTTCATTACATCGGCCCTGTATACACCTACAATGCTTTTAGTTCAGTGTGTACAAACAGCTGCAGGAAATGGATTCTGTTCTGTTCTTCACTCATCACCTACCTGACACCTCACACCTGTTTCTCACCTGCATCATCTGTTGGAATGAAAGTTGGTCTGAAAGCTTCTTGCTGTTTTTTTGATCTACAGTAAACATAAGAGACAGAGTCAGGATTTATTCCAACCTCCCAGTGAAATGCAGCAGGTTAGAAATGTCTCAGAGCTTCTTACGTGGTGATGCTGGGTAAGAGAAGCCTGTATCAGTAAAGCTTGTTTGCTTGTTGGTGTCTTTGTGTTTTGTGAATGTAGGCGAAATTTAACTGTTAGAAAACAAACAGTGTTTGTCTGTGAAAAAGAGAATTAACCTGATTTTCACATTGATATCTCTCAAAGAAATCATTACATTACATTTCACCGCCTTAGTCATGACGCACTTATTCATGGTCATCGTACAGCGCAGCGTAACATACGTCACTTTAACGCGACTTCCTTAAGAGACATCGAAAGTGTGGCGTTTGAACGAGTGTCTGAAAAACAAATGTTTCAGCTTTATTTAAACCTCAAAGTTAACCTCATGTAGGCAGTTTTAACTCGGGTTCTGTTATTAACTGAAGATACCAACAGACTCAGACTTTTAGAACAAACTAAGAGTCAGATCAGCAGAAACAAGAACACGGAAATGTTTCCTGTAACTGCGTCGCTCTGCTCGACTTTGCTGTTTGTCGGTGTCTTCGTGTTTGTCTCTGCAGGTGAGGTTTATAAACCAAACGGTGTTTCCCTCTGAGATAAAGAGGAATAAACATCAGTCTGGTTTACATTACTTCCCAAACAATTAGTTTCTGAGCGTCTGATTGTGTGACGGCATCACGAGGCCTGTTGGTGTCTGTGGATTTACCCGCTTGGTCAGCGATGTTGTTTCCAGCACAGAGACAAAGAAGTGTAGTGTGTTTGTCAGTGTGATGTGTTGTAGTTTCAGGAGTCAGTATACTGCCAGAGGCCGATCTACAGAGGTGGCATGGAGTGGCATGCTCCACCCTAAAATGATCTCTTGCCACCTCTAGTGCCACAGTAGTTTTATATATGACATTGTTGTTTGTTAAGTTGTGGCAACAGATTATATTAGGCTGGCACATGCCTCTCTATGCCACCTCTGCAGATCTGCCCCAGAGTTTTAAATGGTTGTACAAAGAAATGTCAGAATCATTGTTTACATTGTAAGGCACATTACACAATGTTACACTTGCGATATGTGTAAAGAAATGGCTTTGATTTTACCTGTGATTTCCACACCACCCTAAGAACATTTCATTACATCCAGCCCTGTATGCAGCTACAAAGCTTTTAGTTCAGTGTATACAAACAGCTGTAGCTACATAAAGGCAGCATGCAGAGACTCAGTGTCTTATAATGAGAGGCTGCTTTCTCTCACGCATTTTCATTATTATCAGCACGTTTCACTGTATAAATGTTTATATAACACAGGTCCTGCTGTTATTTATTGAAAATGATACTACAGCATGAGTGTGTTTGTGGTTCTCTCATTGACTGCTGTCGAAGTGAACAGTTGTACTTTGACCTTTCACCTCTCTGCTCTGTCTTTTTTCTTCTGTCAGACCAGAAAATCATCACAGCTGAGCCTGGACAGAATGTCATGCTACCATGTCGAGCTCCAAACAACAGCAGCAGCATCACCGGTGTAGAGTGGAGCAGAGCTGACCTGGGAGACGAATATGTTCTTTTGTACCGGGATGAGTTATTTGACCCAGATTACCAGCATCCATCTTTTAAGAACCGGGTTGATCTGAAGGACAGACAGATGAAGGATGGAGACGTGTCTTTGATTCTGAAGGATGTGACGATTAATGACACTGGAATATATGAGTGTCAAGTCTTCATGAGAGGAACAAACATGAAGAAGAGAGCAATCTGGTGGTGAACCCATCAGTATCGTCACACTGAAAGTTGATCCTCCAGGTGAGTGAGTAGAGTTGAGTGTGTGTGTGATCAGAGGTGAAGCTGCTTCCTGGTTGTTGATGTTTGTTTCTAAAGATGTTGTTGATGAGACTTTGTAGAAAGCAGCTGGTCTGAGTGATGTGATCAGAGTGCAGTAGATAATGTCTGACAGCAGTTTGAAGAGGAAATGGATTCTGTTCTGTTCTTCACTCATCACCTACCTGACACCTCACACCTGTTTCTCACCTGCAGGAGGATCTGTTGGACTCATCGTCGGTCTGAATGTTTCTGCTGTTCTTCTTGTTGCTGCTGTTGTTGGTTTTGTGTGCTACAGAAAACGTAAACAACAGCAGACTCAGGATTCATACCAGCCTCCTGTTGAACTGCAGCATGTTTGAAGATGTAAGAGTCGCCTGTATCACTAAGGCACAAAGCAGAGGCCTGCTTTCAGAAACTAAAACAATCACATCATGTAGAAAACCAGAAGAGCTGCTTCATTCCAAAGAGATTTCACAGCAGAGACAATGTTAAAGAAAAAGCTAATTTTTCCTCAAGTAAGAAAAAATAACAGATAATCAAAAAGAAGAAAAAAAGGTGGAGAACAAGGTGCAGCACATTTATCAACTGAAAATGGGAAAGTGCAATTATTTAAATTGCAGGTTATTTTAACTGTAATTTGAAAATCCAATTTAAGGAAAAAAAATATTCTCAAGCATCTGAGGGAGAAATTAGACCCAAAGTGATCCAAGAAGGATCAAAGACATTTTAATCAACAGCCTGCAGTAGTAAACATGTTTACACGTTTACCGTAGATGCTGCATCATGTTGAAAGAATTACTAAAGCCGACACTGTTACTCTTAGCATTGTTAACAACATACATTGTTATGTATATATTTCCAGCACTGAGGATGTTTGGCTTCTGATGTATTGGACAATTGTATATTATTATAATTAGTAGTCATGTTCAGTTTTGATAATGTTAAATGTTTCAAACACACACAGGTTTTCATCATTTGATTGTACGTTTGGTCTGAGGGAGCTAAATTAGTTTGTAGAGAAAAGTGAATGTCAGATTTGTGTTTGTGAGCTTAGCTGTGCATATTTACATTTCTGTGGAAACGCAAATTACTTTTTCATAGTTTGGTTCTCATCAGTATTCATGAGCTCAAAATGTTACAGCATCAGAATGAGTGAGTGTGTTTGTTTCATCTTCAGGTTCAGTTTTCTGTGAGATCAAACTCATTCTGAGAGGTTTGAACCACACAGACTCATCCTCATGTGGAGATCACAGACAGTAACAGTAATTTTGACAGTGTCATGAAAATAAATCTATGAATGGTTTATGTATTAGGCAGATGTTTCCTCTTATCTGTGAAGCTTTATTGAACTTTTCATTCCATGGTTGGTTGTTTTCTGGGTGTTATTTCAGTTTAAATATTTCAAGAACTTGTTACATTAGTAATGTTTTATTTTACTCTTTTTGAATCCGTTTTTGCTAATAAAAAAAAAAACTAGGACTCTATTGTTGTGTTAATTCAGTCTGTTCATGTGTTTTTTGTGGCTCTAACCGTTCTTTTTTATTTCTGGAGCAGCTGATGCAGATTTCTGTCTCTGCTAGATGATGATATGATATGATGATACAATGATACATAGTAAAATAATCTAGACACTCTTTAAGTCATATGTGTCTAACTCAAGGCCTGCGGGCCACATCTGGCCCGACGTACATTTATATTCGGCCCACAAGATCAATTTATATAGATTTATAAATGTATTATTTATTATCGTCATTATGTGGGTCTTCCTTGGTCTCTTGTGTTCTGGGGCCTCTGGATGTCTGGAGTTTTGATCTCCTCCATACCTGCTTGATACCATAGAGGACAGGGTTGTGGCTCCCCACACTCCCTAGCAGATCATTACATGGAGAAACCTTTAGAATGCAAGCACGCTGATCCACACAGGTATGCACACGGGTGTACACATGGGTATTCACAGACGCGGACTAAAGCTTTCTTGGCTGCTGCCTCAAAGCACACTGTGCGCTGTCTATCTTGCGTACTGCACAATATCGTTTATTATTTAGTAACTATTGATATCTATGACTAGCTAGTTTATTGTGATGGTGCTTTTTTTTTCCTATTATTATGTTGCTCTTTGTTGTTTGCTGTCTCCTCTGTTTTTTTTTTCTCCATACAGGTGACCCAGGAGTTTTGTTTTTTTTGTTTTTTTGTTTTTTTTTCTCTCTTCCCCCCTTCTCACCGTCTCTTCTCCCCTTTGGTTTCTTTCTTTCTCTCCCCCTCTTTCTTTCATTCTTTCTCCCTGTCCTATCCCACAGTTATGTCTGTCCCGTTTGCAACTGAAAATAAAATAAATTCATAATTACAATAAAGGTCAATCAAATGGACCAATATGGCAAGGCCATGATGATCCACTTGGTAAAATAAATCCGCTTGGCATCTTTCTTGGCCTCAAGACAACAATTCTGATGGCTATATATCCAAACGGGACAAAAAACAAACAAAAAAAAAACAACAACTTTGTTTTATATCTTCTCTTTGAACAAGATAGAAATTTAGGAGTAGCATGGCCTTACAAACCCAGCAGTGAGATCTTAAGAGATCCATGGCTCTTCAATGTGGTGTCACAGGGACCCCGCAGAAAAAAATTGTAAATGTAAAATAATAAAATAAATATTCTTCTGTAGCAATAACAAAGTATAACATAAATTATTCTGTAGCAATTACACAAGAATATTTAGTAATGTCCCTGCCTACAATTAAACACATTCACTTACCGAAAATTGGGGGCATCTGCTGTGGCAAATGGGTTCAAGCCTTTTACCACAAACTTAGTCACTGCTCGGTAACATTAGTCTATCCTGGCCTGAAAGGAGACGCTACCGGTAGACTGCAGCGAGAACTGCCAGCGAGAGCGAGCGCCAGCCAAACTCTGTCTCTCTCATCATGGTCACCTAAATGCACAGTAATGGCAGGTTTTGTAATAAGGCAGATCGCGCTAACATAATTTGCGCTGTTAGTTGATTATTTACCTGCCGCATTAACGGGAGAGGGCGTGCAAACGTTACCGCTGCTGCTGGGTTGAGATTCACGAGTCCAGAGCGGAATTAAAAACACGACATTCATTTATAGTTATCACGTGTTTTGTGAGCAAATGCTTTTGCATATTCGTAGTGTTTCCTCCCTTAAATGACCTGTATCTACTTTTTTTTTTTTTTTTTTTTTTTTTTTGTCCCGTTTGGATCTATAGCCATCAGAATTGTTGTCTTGAGGCCAAGAAAGATGCCCCCCTCTGTGGGGATACTCCCACTAGGTTTATATCTGGGACTCTCCACCATTTGACCTTAGAACTGAAGAAGCTTCTCGGATGAGAGGTGAAACGTCTTCAAGCAACTTAAAGAAGTCCAGACGCTTTTCTTTGCAAGCTCCTTTGACTAATATTTCACTAGTTTTGTAACATCACATGCCGTTAGCGCAGTCTGTCTGCGTCTTTTCTCTGCGAACAAACATTTTAGAGTTGGTAGTTATATACAGTCTGTATAAGTGTGGTTAATCTAATAAACATTTGTAAGAAGATGGCAGTTACTGTGAATGTACAGCAGGTGATTAGTAATAAACAGTCAGACAATGACTCTTGTAGCAGTCCCTCGGACCAAGGAAGAAATAGAGAGAGCCTCGACGGGTGCAGTAATTTTTACTTTGAGATTCATTCAGAATCTTTTTTTTTTTTTTCTCGCCTGTCCCATTTGGTTCTTTAGCCATCAGAATTGTTGTCTGAAGACCAACAAGGATACCCAATGGATTTACTTTGCCAAATGGATCTTCGTGGCATTACCGTATTGGTCCATTTGGTCGATCTTTGTTTTTATTATTTATTATATTTTATTTTCAGATGTTACAGATGGGACAGACATGAGTGAGGGATAGGAAAGGGAGAAAGAAAGAGGAAGGAAAGGAAAAACAGAAGGGGAGGGGACAGTGAGAAAGGGGGGGAGAAAAAAAATAAGAATCTCCTGGATCACCTGTTGAGAGAAGAATAGAAAACAAGCAAAAAAACAAAAAAAAACAAAGCAACATACTAAACACAACACCATCGCATTAATCTAGCTAAGTGTAAACAGCAGTAAATACTAAATATTCAATGTTGTTGTGCAGTACGCAGGACAGATGTGCTTCGAAGTAGCAGCCAAGAAAGGTGTAATTTAAGTCTACGAGCAGTGAACACCCGTGTGCATACCTGTGTGGATCAGCGTGCTTGTGTTCCAAAGGTTTCTCCATGTAACGATCTGCTAGGGAGTGTGGGGGGGCCACAGCCCCGTCCTCCAGGGTATGAAGCAGGTATGGAGGAGATCAAAACTCCAGACATCCAGAGGCCCCCAGAACACAAGAGACCATGGAAGACCAACAGAGGGGCAGCCGCGCCACTGTCCCAGCAAGAGCTGAGGAGAGTCCCAGATGAGGGCTCACTCAGCAGCCGCGGAGCAGAAGCCAGGGGGAGTTGCAGTGACGCGCCCGTGAGCTCCGCCGGCAGCCAGCTGTGCCTGAGTGACCGAGCCCCAGGCCGAGAGGCCGGGGGCACCCCACCTCCGAAGTGGCCCGAGCGAGCCCCAGGTTCCAGGCCCGATAAGCGGCCGCCAAGGAGTGAGCCGGTGTGTACCTGGACGCCCACCTCCAGACACAAAGAACCACCAACGCACCGACACCTGAGGGAGTCCGCCACCGGCAGGGGAAGTGGTGGAGGGGTGGAGATAGGCCTCCAAACCTTGGAGGGCCTGAGGTGTCCCCAGAGAGGTGGTGTTTGATACCCAACCTGACATATAGACACAGACATACAGGCACACACAGACACAAACATCCATTCCCCCCCTCATGCTCTCATATGCACTTACTCCACACTCAACCAACGTGGAGACAGACATAAAGAGACGCTGTACACACGATCACACTCCCCAAGCGTACTCTACAAACCGGGTCTAGGTACCCTTGCCCCTGGAGGGG